CCCCATCTACCGGAGGTATTAGTGACTGCTGTCGGGCGGCAAACGTCCGCAATTTTGCTCAGTGACCTCCTTTGGAGGTATGAGGTTCTTTTACGTGCCGTAAAGCTACGACACGGGACCCACGGCTTAAAGTCCCTCCCGGAGGACTTGTTCCCTGAATTTTTCCGCCCTTAAAAATTCGACGACCTCCGCCGGGTATTTGAACCCGCGTACTACGAGTCATGAGGTGGGAACGTTACCTCTAGACTACGGAGGCCGCTTTTCGGTAAGTATTACTAGGGCGATAAAATCAAGGAGTACAGGATCGGCAGGACATGTAGAATGAATAGGTGAGATCAGAAATTCTTGCAATATTTTCGCTGGGAAACATGAAGCGGAGAGACCGCTTGGAAGATGATATTAAATTGAAGAGTGAAGAAGCAGTATGTGGGATTGTGGACTGCATTCATCTGGCTCAGGATCTGACTAATGGTGTGCTCTTGCACACAGCGATAATGAACTTTATGGTTCCAAAAAAGTCAGGATGTTTTTTAGTAGCTGAAGGACTACTTCTCATAGGAGTATACTCATGGAATTAGTTTTAGGTTTATATACAGGTATATTGCAAATTTATTTATGCGTATAATTATTCTCAGTTTTATCTAATTAGCAATTAAATCTATAGATGTTCCGAATAAAATTTGGAGATATAAATAAAGTCTGCGTTTAATTCTATTCCAAAATTTGCTGTCTTTGACACTTTTCTGAGAAGATCGATGTTATATTCGCTAGGTAGCTTATAGTGCTGACGCAAATATCAAATTTAATCGACATCTTATAAACAGTTTCGGGCACAGGACATGCGCTAGAAGGAAAGATAGATGCACAGGAAAGATTTCTCCATTATGCACACAATTTATACACTATGTGTGAAGAACCAAAATAATAAAAAAAAAATTACCACATAAGCATAACACTACAAACAGCCTTAAGTCGACAACTGACGGAACTGTTTTCATACTTCAGGCTATTCCTCCGGACGACCGTCAAGATTGAGAAGGGCTCTGAGATTTACACCACGTACACTCACACCCTGAGTCCGACCTTCTTGAGAAGAAGCTTCCTCAAAAAATACAAGTTCTTTGACTGCAGCTGCCCTAGGTGTTCAGACCCCACGGAACTTGGCACTCACATGAGTACAATGAAGTGTCACAAATGCGATCTCGGTCTCATCTTGTCGTCAGACCCTCTGGGTAAGCATACAAACCCCCTTTCTCGCAGAACACTTGTTCTGGATGGATGTGTCAAAATAAGCAGACGTCTGTTTTTATTGGCATGCGATAGGAGAATTTTGCGAGTGTAGGCGAACTCTAATGCGTTCGAAATATCTGTCCATATGCAACAAGTCCGCTCTGTATGAAATCAAAATTTAATTAAATATGAAATTTAGAGTCCTTACCACAATTTTAACATTCAGTTTAATTTAGATTCAAACTGGGTAAAATTTATTATATTTTATACCCACCTAGTGCACAGGTTAAGAATACATAGATCTTCAGCTCAAGTCTCCCGTACGTACTCATGGTGCGGTGCTTAAGCACACGAACAACTTTATTTTACATTACTGTAAAGTAGTTAATAGTTAGATCCCTCCAAAATAATTTTAAATCTTAATAATATAAACATTTTTCTATTTTCGGCACGTGGTAGCGTAGTTGATTGAGGCACAATGCTACAAGCCGAAAGGCCACGGGTTCGATTCCCGACGAGGTCATCGGACTTTTCAATTTACCTAATCCTTCCAGTCACACTGTGGCCCTGGGGTCGAATCCTCACCGCCATCTGTGAGCCGATTGCCTAGAAAACGTGGGAACTTCAACGTCTCACCAACCTAGGAGCCTCGATGGCCCGTTACATAGATAGCTTTACATTCACCTATGTGTATTCCTTATGTAATTCGTATGATTTCCAAGGTGACTGTCAAAAAGAGGTACATATCAAATCAGCATGTTTGTGATACGCTCTGCACTCTGCTATCCTTAGGTCTTTCAATAGGCCTAGTAAGATACCATATCTTTAGTTATCTAATCGTTTATTACGTTGGAATTTCAATTATCTAAATAATGGTCAGAATCATTGGGTTTTTGGACTTTGTCCATCGTCCGGTATTCTAGAAATGAGAAAACCAAACGTTTCGGGAACTGGATTTGTTTCCGTCCTCAGGTGAGTGGAGAAGATACCTACTCTGTTTGGTCCCTTAGAAGAAGTAACCTCAATCACTGATACTAATTGAGGTTGACTGAGGTTAGCTCTTTCTAAAGGACCCAACAGAGTAGGTGTCTCCTCCCCCCACCCCTTCACATGAGGACGGAAACAGATGCAATTTCCGAAACGTTGTGTTTTCTAGGATACCAGACTATGGAAAAAGCACAGAAGTCCAACGATTCTGAGAATCTCTCGCTGCGTGTTCAGAAGATATCCAGTAACAACTTCTTTAGAACAATTTCATTTAAGAGTCTAAGAAGTAAAGGATATTCCAAAATAGTCTCATATCTGAAACAATTAAAGTCAGACATATAATGGTTATCACTCCTTCCTGTCCGGAATATTCTAGGTTCGATTCCCGAAACTGATATCTACAGCACTAGTTGGGGACATTCGTGGTTTCCTTCAGTCAGTACAAAGTAATTCTGGGACGACACTTTAAAGTGGGACACAGTAAATTCCTTCTACGGTATATACCACGTTGTCTAGGTATTGATAGCAAAAGAAACGTCCTTCGACGGTATTTTCAATTCATCATTCACATTCACTGTTACTTGACGCACCATATCCCATGCATCGGCCAAAGCATCATTAGATAAGCCAAGAACCGCTCAGTCAATTTACATGTGACTGAAGCCAAAACTGTGTGTAATCGAGAAATCGACATTAGGAACCAAGACTTGGGCAATTAATGCACTTCTCATTGGACGCTAAATAACTTCTGTGATTCAAACAGCTTCGATAAATAACCTAATAGTCAATCCTAAGAGCGCAATTTCTTTGTTGCAGACCCTCTGGCCCAGTGGAAGTGCACTCACTGCGAATTCTCCACGCCAGGCAGTGCGATAGAGAGGGTGTTCTCCGTGATCCAGGATGAACTGGACCAGCTGGAATGCGTGCTGTTGGGTGAAGAGGCGGTGGAGAAACGCGAAGCTCTGTGGCGAAAGTACAGATCTGTTCTGCACCCTAAGCATGCCTTCTTGATGACCTTGCGGTTCTCGTTGTCCCAACTGTACGGCCACGCAGAGGGCTACCTTTTAGACGACCTGCCGGATATTCTGTTGGAACGGAAGATCGAAATCTGCAAAGACATCCTGTCAGTTGCAGACGTAATAGAACCTGGACTGTCAAGACTTAGAGGTAGGCTTTCTTGTAGCGTCACACCTATTGTTTTTGCTAATACTGTTATAGGCCGGTCACGGTAGACGAGCGGTCTAAGGTATGTACTGTCTTCGCTCGCTTGGAAACCGGGATCGTGGGTTCGAATCTCACTCAGGGCATGGATGTTTAGTTTGTGTGTGTGCGTTTTTCTGTGTTTGTGTACAGGTAGAGGCCTTGCGACGAGCTGATCACCCGCCCAAGGGGTCCTACCGAATGTGTAAGATCTAGAAAAACCGAAATGAACGGAGAAGTTTATGGAGGTAGGCCTAGGCCCACTGGGGCTGCAGTGCCAAGGAAAAAAAAATAGTATTATAGAAACGCCTGCAGGAAATAGACTACTTGGAAACCTAGACGTAAGCGGAGTAATATTGAACTGGACATTCAAAATAATAGAGAAGGATGCAGGTTGGTTTCATTTGGCTTCGGGCAGGGACTAGTCGTGGATTTTGCGATCATGGTAATGAGATTAAGGGTTCCATAAAATACTGAGAATTTCTTGAACAGATGGGCAAGAGTTAGTTTCTCAAGAAGGACTTACTCCATGAAATTGGTTAGTTAAGGGCGTTATAAAACTGAATGATTTGAGGCAACAAATATACGTATTTTAATTTATTTAAATTTATGTGAAACAAGCACACTGAAAAAAAAAATAGTGTAAATTTATGTTAATATCGCTTTCAAAGATTTCATATGTGGTTCAGTTCCCGTGTGTTTGTGCGAAGTCTGTGAACCAAACTGCAGTTTCACACTTCTGGCAACAAATTCTACAATTCCTTACAACAGGGCTACATAGCCTTTGAAATAATTCGCTGCCGATGTAGGTTGGGGAACTGGGGTAATTAGAGTAAACATTTACCGGAGTAACTCGCAAACACAGCAAAGAGGTCTCAAACCTAGGCCTATTTATGGGAAAGTCTGTTTACTGCAATGGTCGAGCCGAAATTATAGAGGCTACAGGGAATATTGGGTTAACCAGTTAACACGAACTATGAACTGATGAGAGCTGAGTAGGAAGGCAAAATTTGACCCCATTTTAACATACGAAATCACATTTTGGGAGTATTAAAAGAATCTAACGATATCAGTGAGGATCGTTATTTGTGTCCTACCGCATGAAAATAGAATGCGCAAGTATGCAAAAACAGCTGTTCCTGGCTAACGCAATTTGACGAGATATAAATGTAAATTTTAACAATTTCAGCCCTAAAGGTAACTACAATTACTCACCTTCATTACAGAATAACTTCGTCACGATACTACAAAAGAAAACCAGGAGGAAACTCATATAGAACTAGCAACAATTAAACGCGAATAATCATTCATAATATGTAAGTAATCACCCACACCACATCATATAAATACTCGTACATATTAGTTATAATTCAAATTATAATAATACACGTAAATTTATTCGTTCTTTCGGATAAAACGTACATTAACAACGAATCCAAGAAGACATCACCATCCTCTATAAGCATCACGGACACCCACATCGTACAGACGAGATATAAACACCGATTTAAACAATCTTAGCCCTAAGGATTAATTATAACATAAAAATACCAATATATATTATCACAAGATATAGAAATCAACGTATTTTTTTAATTCAATAACAAGCACATATTTAAGAAGCTGCCTGATGATAATCCAAATATGGATAAAGACTGTAGCAGACGCTAAATAAAACCAATATTAGTACAGTCATATTGAATTAGTTTGTTTGAAAATTTGTTGTGTTCAAGGGCAGAAAAGCCACATTGTCACTATAGGCCTAATGGTAAGACTTTCTGTGTACTCACTAAATTCAATTTCTTACCTTGCGACGAGCTGATCACCCGTCCAAGGAGTCCTACCGTCTGTAAAATGATCATGAAACTGAGAAATTAGCCCTGTGCTTCAAAAGTTGGAGCAAGAGGAGAAGAAAAGTATTCAATTTCGGCATTTTTTAATCAATTTGAACTAGCAAAGAGCTTATTTATCACAAGTCTTTCCATATTCTGGCTGAGATATTGATTAAATTACAGATAGGAGAATGCTATAATGTAAAATATAATTTTAAAGAAATATGTGAGTATACTGAGTGGATTTGTCTGGCTCAGGATGCGTTCGAGTGATCTACTCTTGTGAACATGGTAATGAACCTCTAGTTTCCATAAAAAAAATCGGAATGTCTTCATCAGCTGAGTGGATATTAACTTCTGAAGGAATATTCTATCCTACAGGATTAATACGTTTACACCATTTCACAGTTTCTTGCTGAAAGAGTTTGAGTGTATTTTAATCTACAAAAGATGTACTTAGATTTGTATTCAGAATTTCGGAAGTATGGTAGCCTTGTTTGACCAAAATTACAGAATTTATTTATATTATTCGGAAGTGGAAATCTTCAAATTACATAGGATACTACTGACAGGTAGGCTGATGGATATAGAATGTCCACAAAGTTCTTCTCTGTGTTCTGAGTAACTAGCCTTCCTATACAGACATCAGCACATTACGCACTGGCTTGTTATGCATTACCCTGCAGCCAATGAACAGAGTGTTACAGTGGTAGAGACTTATGGGCTTGGAATCTCAGTCCCCACACTATGATTTTACGAAATTTTCCTCCGTCACTCCCTGATAATCCTAATCCATTGCATTAAAACAGTTCACAACTATTTCCTTGCGCATTCAAATTCAGCAGTCATAATCGTCCTGTACCTTATGGCCGTGCCATAGCTCAGGTGGTTAGTCGCTGGCTTTCCATCGCGGCGACCCGGGTTTGAGCCCGGGTCAGGTAATGTGGGTTTTGTGATGTACAAAGTGGCATTTGGGCGGGTTTTGTGATGTACAAAGTGGCATTTGGGCGGGTTTTCTCCGCCTACTTCGGTTTCTCCTGCCAATCTTCATTCCACCAATTGCTCCAAAATTACAATCATCTATCTTCTGAGGCTAGTATAAGAGGCCGATAGTCACCGCAGTACCAAGTGGACTCGGTCTCACTGCACTTATAATAAATTCACTATTTCACTAATCTCCTGCCAATCTTCATTCCACCAATTGCTCCAAAATTACAATCATCTATCGTCTGAGGCTAGTATGAGAGGCCGATAGTCACCGCAGTACCAAGTGGACTCGGTCTCACTGCACTAGTAATAATAATAACAATAATAATAATAATAATAATAAATCCTGTCCCTTGATTCTTCTTAGACTATACATCCGACAACTAATACGAGTAGTTACAAGTAGCAGAGCTACTCAAGAAATTTCTGCCCTATATGAAAGCGGAGGCTCTATGTTGTCGATAACAAGTCGTTATATAAACCAAGATCGTCCTTGAGTCCCGTTACATGTGAAGCCCTGATAACTTCTTACTACATAGGCTGAAGCTTTCTTCCGTGTTAGCAACAGCAAAGTAGGAAATGTGTAGCAATTTATGTTTTATTTGTGTTATTTCAGGCATGACTCTGTACGAACTTCACGCGCCACTGTTGCTGTTCGCCCGTAGCCAATGGCGCTACAAGGAGATTGACGACAGACAGCTGAGAGTGAGACTAGAAGAAGCAGAAAAGTATCTCAAAGAGGCAGTGGATATTCTTAAATTTGAACATTCATCCTCACCAGAAGGAAAGATCGCGGTGGCCAGCGAGGAATCTCTGCAACAGCTCCGTGAATCCATTGCATCTCTTCCCATGACATAACATGTTTATCGAGTGTAAAGCAATATCTCTCAGTAAATTCCATTGGTTAGACATGCTATTTATATTTCTGTGATCCTCTCACTAGGCGTAACCCATTAAAATTAGGTGTCTCTAGAAATAATTTCCAATGGAAAGGAACGAAGATGGAACCAAGTGAAGTTCTAAGACTTGTTCTTTCTAGTGGGAAACCCAGACTGACTTCGAATATAAACTGCCTTCCCTTCCGTAATTGGTAGATACGTAAAATTTGGGTGTTGTAGGACCTAATACAGATGTGCCTACACACTCGCTGCGAACCTGGGGGTATAATTTCTTCGTAAAACATAAAATATGTGTGATACATGGCTGTATCGTCAAACGTTATATGTAGGCTTTTCATAACATAAACTGACAAGTGATAAAAGTATATATCTCTAGGCAGAGCACTAGAAATTGTAATGAATAAAAGGATAGCGCAAATTAGGTACGAATTTTGCATTTCAATAAAGTTGCAAGACAGTATACACATTGATGAATGCCGTCTTCTGCGATGTGGCGCCGTATAAATCTTGTGTGAACAGACGTTTCGGAGGAATGTATTGCCTCCATCTTCAGCGTCTGAATTTAAGACTCAGTCTGGAGCCACCTGCTCAAGCTCGTTCCTCGCACGCGGATTTTTCTACCCTGAAGATAGTGGCAATACGTTAATCCGAAACGTCGTCTCACACAAGATCTACACGGCGCCACATCCCAGAAGACAGCATTCTTCAGAGTCACTGCCCTTAAAACGTCAAATCTTACATAGCATATTATTGCTTCTGTTTCTAATTAGGTCATGATATCAGACCCAAATTATAAAATACACCCATATTTTCGTAGCTTACTTTCGTTTAGCGATATCAGTTTGCTTTTGGAGATATAGATAACGCTTAAAACTGATACTATAATCTGAACTTTGTTGATTGTAGCTGTTCTATCATTCCTACTAAATCCGCAGTACAGTAGTACCATCCAAGGGTATAAATGTGCTTGAATTCTGATAAATATGGCTTAAAGAACTTTAAATATTGATAACCAATCACATTTTTCAGGAAAAATATGGAATATTTTAACATTGGTGTTTACAATTTAGGTTCAGATTTAATAATTATGTAAAATTCCTTATGCAGAGAATCAGAAATTTTAATAGCTCTTAAATTTTTTGGAACCACTGGACCACGCTTCGTGAGCAACGATGTTCAAATAATTTTATCTGAGAGAAACAAAAGTTTTTAAGTCAATGATAGCAAGCGCCTAAATTTATAGGAGAATTCTCATAAATTTAACATAAAATTAAAACAGTTATTTTGAATTGTTTCATTTTGGTCCATTACACTATCAATCACAAAGTTAATAGAAAGTCCGTCGAGTGTAATAATTTGTAGGTCACTTTTTATTATTATTTCTGCCTTACATGTTTTGGTTTGACACAACCATCATCAGAGGCACTTGCTATAATTATGGAAACACTGTCGCTTTTTGATGTTCATAAACATAATTGTGAACATCAAAAAGCGACAGTGTTTCCATAATTATAGCAAGTGCCTCTGATGATGGTTGTGTCAAACCGAAACATGTAAGGCAGAAATAATAATAAAAAGTGACCTACAAATTGTTACACTCGACGGACTTTCTATTAACTTTGTTAAAACAGTTACATATATCAGCAGAAATTATGTTCGAAACAATAAAATATGTAATGCTTGCTACCTATTGTCCTATATAATGTACCTGTGTTTTTAGCTGGTTCAATTACTTTAGTATATTTTTCTTCATAGCCGTACAATTAGTTCGAAGTCGTAATACAGCAACCCATAATTACGTATGCAGTCCCTGATCAGGACAAAAGGAGTGTGAAGGATATCACATAAGAGTGAAGTCAAATAATGGCGTTTATTTAATCTTCATGGGATGTATCGTATGTGTGACATATAAATAACGTTTTTGGGGAAGTTTACACAACAATTGTGTCAAAGATAAATATTCGTTTGCCAAATAAACGAATGCTGTTCTTTGATATAATTGTTGTATAGACGATCCCTGAAAATATTATTATAGATTATTTAGACTAAAACATTGATGAATATATCTGGGATTATTTCGCTTCATGGCATAGGGCTATATGTGGACTAAAAGTTTCAAAAATAAATAAAAAAAATCCATTAGTTTAACTTAGAATTTTATCGAAATAAATATTTAACAGAACAACTCTATATTTCCTGTTGTATGAAACTGGCTTAAATTAAAGAAACGGAATTGCAAATTTATTTATTGTAAATACATATTTAATTCCTAAGGGTATTCACTGTTTTTTTTTGTTACGGCTGTAAATAGGCATATGGCATTATGGACGTATATTCTGTAAAATTGACCACGAAATTATTTACTTGTACACGCTTGCTGATTTCTCAACATATGCAGGAGACAAACTTCGAACTTCGTTCCTCATGAACCTCGTGCAGACGTGAGCAATTATTTATACGTGAAACTGACACAGGACTATTTCATAGATAAGCTCGGGCTGGAGAGCTTGTAGAAAAAATATATGCACATTACTAAATTCTGAGGTGTGATGTCGTGTAATGTAGCAGTAAGTTAACAACGTTTCGGAGGAACCTGCCGCTCCTATCTTCTATCCTGATGATAGAAGCAGTAGATTCCTAAAAAAGTTGATGCCTTATATGACACCACATGGCACCAAATGTAAGATAAAAGTAATCTTAATAAATTCGAACCGAGCACCTCCCGGATACATGTCAAGAGCATTAACAGTACATTATTACTTCTCATGTTGGCTGATACAAGGTTACACTTTATTAATATACGGCTGTTACTTCTGTATATACCGTATATCATAATTTTTCCATCCTGTACTTTCAGCCTTTTTCTATTATGTTTATAAAACAATATTCATAAAGAAAACACAGATTCTTTATTAAATGCTCACAACAAGAACTGTCTAAATCAAAGTTTCCAAAACTCATGATCCTCGAGCCACCAGCTGTCAGTGAAAGAATTTTAAGTGGTCCGCCGCCATCTTCAAAATCATGGTCTTCCATTTAACATGATTCGCGTCACAAAATGTTTATATTATTTTTCGCTTTAAAAGTCATGGGGGTGTAACTGCTGACTAAATTTCACTCAAATCCCATTCAATATTCTTAAAATATTTCGTTTAACATCTGGGTGGTCCACCAAAGATTTTTTTTAATT